GCACGTCCGGGAGGGGTCCAGGCGCGCGGTGGAAGCGGGAGTCGCCCACTGATGAGGCGGCGGGTCGTGCGGGGGGCGTCTCCCATCCAGGCTCGCTCGCAGGTCTGCGCAGCGCGCATCGAGTCCCGAGGATCGGGGGGTCGGGCAGCGGGTGGTCAGGGCGGGGGGGCGAGAGGTCGGGCCAATGGCGGCTGCCGGCGTCCGGGGGTCTCTCCTGCGACGCGGGTCAGCAGGGAGTGCCGCCGCACGCCTACCGAGCGACGGGGGCGTGGCCGGTCCATGGAGCGGAGTCCTCACATCGTAAGAGGCGGGTGGGGGGGGGGTGGGGCGCAGGTCTTCGCTTCTCTCGTCACGTCGCCAGGAAGTGGCGCACCGTCGACACTGCGCCGCTACCGTCGCTTCCTCTCCCGGGCGGCGGCGGGGTGCCTGCGGCCTCGCGCGGCGATGCACGCCGCCATCGTGGCCCGCCATCGCCTGGGCGCGCACGCGGAGGCGTGATTCGGATGGACGGGCGGAGCAGCTGCTGCTGCTGCGCTGCAAGCGCGGCGGAGACATGCTAGCCGTAGCGCGTGGGCGGGCCGAGTGGGCAGAAAAAATGTCGCGCAGGTCGGCGGGGTGGTGGTGCGGGGCGCCCATCGCCGCAGCATTGGTAGCCAAGGTGGTGGTGGTGGTGTCGTTGGGCGGGCTGGGGGGCCGTAGCGGTGCGAGGCTGGTCAATCATATTGCTGCATGGGCTGCGCGTATATTCGGCTCTCCGCGACGGCGTCCCCGGCGATGGCTGCTGTTGGATGAGGGGCCTCGCGTCCCCACCGGGCGCCCGTCTCCGCCCGCGTACGCGTCCAGGCGTTGGTGCTGTAGGATCACGTGCCGAGATCGCGCGAGTGCGCTTGGATCTGCGGTTTGGCGCGTCATGGTTGAGCGGGCGTGTTCACGTCAGTTCCCGCCTGCTGCGCCGGCGCGCCGGCTTGGTGGTGGCGCACGGTAGCGCTGTTGTGGGGGCGCGTAATGGCGAGGGGGTTGTTAGCCGTCTGGTGGGGTAGGCGGGGGGGCGGCCATGATCGCTTCGTTGGGCGCGCGGGAGTATCTGCTCTGGGTGGTAGGTCATGTGCGGGCTGAAGCGCGTGGGTGGCTGGCGATGCCGTCGTGAAATACTTGGGGCCTTGTGGCGCCGCGGCCCGCCCGCGTTCCGAGTGGCCCGCGCTGCGTAGAGACGTACACGGGTCCGGCGGTGCGGAGTCGCGCGGGCTCCATTGGTGGCCGGCCGGCGCCTACAATCGTATCCTCCCGGCGCTGCGTCGTGGTGTGGTGTTCCGGTGCAGCTGAGGCTGCTGGTGCTGTTCGTGGTGGCTGCGGGTGTTGAGTAAGCGGCGGCGGGGCCTGTGTTGTGCTGCTGGTGGTAAGCGAGTAATCCATCGTAGGCCGGTTGCCGTTCGTTCGGCCACACGTCGGCCACGCAGCACGCCTGCGTGCGGCGCCCGCCCGCGAAATGGAAAGGCGGCGGCGGCGGCGCGCGTCACCTGCGTGTCGCCGGTGCGGGGAGGGGGCGGGGTGGGTGCCACTGCGAGGGGGGGGCCGGGAGACCTAGACAGCCCCGGCATCGCGCTGCAAGGTGGTTCATTGTTGAGATCGGTTGTCCACAGTGGGGGTGGAGCTCGGCCAGG